CCGGGGGACGCTGGGTGCGACAATGGGTTCCTGTGACCGGTCCGGAGCATCCATTGATTGTCGCACTTCTGCTGTTCATGGCTAGGTTGAACTTCACTCACGGTTTTGATCCACATCTCATGGTTGAGGAGGGGTGAAGCAATTAGTTTTGCCGCGCACCTTTGAAACCTTAAGTGGTTCGCAAGATCTTTATGCCAAACTTTTTGGGTTGACGTGCTCATATGGTTTGAATGAACATCTTGCCGCGAAATTGCACATGATATAGCCCAAAGCTACATCATGGCCTTACGCATCAAAGTTCACGTTGTTGTTCTTATATAAATGAATATTGTGTTTGGACAGTTCTTGGTTATTGCGGTCATATCATGTCATAACTGCATATACGATATAAACATCGAAGAAAATCAAACAGCTGGGGACTTTGGGGGGACTCAAGGCCGTTCAAAGGATAGCCGGACCATGTGCATTTGACTGGATGCGAACACCGGATTTGCACATCTCACAGGTGTGAGCACAGCAACAACATACACGTGTTTGGAAAAGAAGGATCTATCTGGGGCACCGGATATACCATCACTTTTCCCAAAACTCTCCACAAATGATTGGAACTGATACAAGTGATAGAAGCTGCATCAAACAAAATGAAACCAACAAAACCCCTGGGTCCTTTTCCCATGTTCCTCTTTACTTCATATGGATCTCTTCACGATGGAGGCAGTCCGACTGTCCAAAGTGCCTTGGCCTCCTTGGCCGCCTTCACGGCCTGCTCCGTCCTGAATGAGCGGAGCAGGTGCATCGACCCGGTCCTGCTATGTCTGTTCACCTGATTAAACCAACTCCGCCTTCATAAATACATCCATGCACCCTTCGACAATGAACTCAGTGGCTGGCGTAGGGTGACTTTTTTCTGGTGCCTGTTCACTCTGGTTTTATCGTGTCACTCACTCATTGCAAGAATTCACCCAGTGAGTGTAATCATGTGTGCGTGGTGGTCCACCTCACATACTACTGATCAGGCCCCATGCCTGGTCCGCAAGAGAACTTGGAGGATCACTGGTCGGACAACTGCTGTTTGGGGCGCAGCTGCAGCGCTACAGGCTGTACTTCGAAAGGTACCTGAATCACCATCCACTATCTACTGGGCTCGACTCAGCTTGCTCTCTCAAGTTGGCTGGACTCACCAGTGACCCAAAACACCCAAAGGCACATCATCTGGAACACCGGATGGCCGGCCAGCATTGGCCGGTCCTGTTTCCCTGTAATGGTTGCAGGTTACAAGGCCACCAACAAAAACGAGCCGAAAGCAAATCAATCCCAATGCAATATGTAAATTATAACAAAAAAACACAAACAACAAAACGTAACAAAAACCTTATTCATTTGATCCAAACATCTCCAGGTTCAAGGTTGACTATACAGATCACACCTTTTTCATCTACGAGTCTACGAGTAACAATGTATAATTACAATGCACATACCCAGGCGAGTGCCATGGATGCTCCCCATGTTTTCGCCCATGCCTCGTCCAGGCCCTTGGCGTTGGCCGAGCGAAATCGCCCGGTTGAGAGCCTGGAAACGTGACTTTCGACTGTTCATCCCTTTCGAGGTGAGATCGGCGCAGCATCGGCTGAATGCTCAAACCACGTGAAAAAAAAACTGCAGCTCGGTGACTGGGATGATTTGGAGATGACCCTGGTCACTGGTCAAGTGTACATGTGATGAAGAAATATGCCGACTGGAAATAACAATCTGTTGAGATGAAACGAGGACTTTCCTAAGGACGTAGGAGGGGAGTCCTCGTGGAAATGAGCTGGTCGCCTTAGTTTCCGTGTGAATGACCTGGACAGGGAGGCCCACCCAAAAAACATGAGCTCACTCAGCCATTCACCTGCAAACATGGAGTGGCACCGAAAGATCACCTCAAACAAGCGATTTTGGGAGCCCACCCACTGAGAATGGTGTCCGCACGTGGTTGGTTTACACCAGCACGGCTCACCTGGACAGTAGTGTCTACGGGGAAAATGCACGTCAATGACTGCAAGCTTCTGAAGGCCATGTTACCGGCATTGTCCTTCTGATTAGGGGAAGATTGACGAATGGATTGACACTTCAGCAAGCTGGCAAACACCCGGCAACCCCTTTCCAGGTTTAAAGCACACTTTTCGAGTGAAACGCCTGTGACGTCCTGCCATGCCGTGCCTGGCACAGGGACCCAGTCCAATGGACGTGCACGCAAGATGTAGCTCAAGCGCGGAAAGGAGCTGCGAAGGTAGGAATTGCCTGCAAATGCCGCAGGGGGATAGTCAAAGCCAAGGTGCTGTAAAGCAAAGCTTGAGTTCTTGGAAGCTCTCAATTTCTTCCCCCCTCCCCATGCACACCAAGTTCTCAAAGAAATCATTTGTCATTATTTGTATTCATTTGTCATCATTTGTCTACTTCCCACCCCAAGTTTGCTTCATGCCAGGCTTCCTTATCTCTCAAACATCTCCACTCGTGATTGACTCTTCACCATCTTCACCGGTTGATCCATGTTGATCCTTTCCCCATCCTCATCCGTGTCGACCCGACCCCTCCTGACTTCGATCGTCGGCCTTCCAGGTTGATTCTCCGCGTCTCTGGGCCCTCGCCGCCGAACTCTGCGATGTCGCCATAGGTGGTGTCGATGCGCTCCTTGGACGGGACGGCTGGCACGATACACGGCGCGTGACGTTCCGCTTCGGGATTGAAGCAAGCGAACCGGTGATCGGTCGAAGTAAGTGGGGTGGCTGGAATAGTATAGATCCTCTTAGACGAATCTAAAGCCACAAAAAGCTCATGAAAATGGGAGCACTTGTAAAAGGGACCTTACAATAACCCATTCAAATCAAGTTGGAAAGTGGCCATGCAATACAAATTATATGACTCAAAAACCTATTGAGCTTCACTTACTTTCAGCTGAAAAATCTGAAACCACAAAGTACACCCTCCGGGGTGGAAACGAGGTACCGTTGCACAACCCTGCCAAGGAAGCCACCCAACTCAGGTGGTACCCCATTTTGTCCAACAACCTTCCTATCCATCGACAGTACGTCGTGTTGGAGCGTCTAAGATCATAGATTCTTAGATCAGAGTGGATGCTCGATTTGCTGGAAGGGGAAGTCGATGGAAGCCAAAGGGTTTAGGAGCAACATCTGGTGCCATCCGATGGCAACCAGCTTCTTAGCCTTGCGGCCTTGCGCTTCCAATAGATGCCTTTTACTCATCAGCCCTCTGGTTTCTTGCCGCTGCATTGTCTGCAAACGCGGACTGGCTGAGAACGTGCAGCATGGTCCTGTGAGGTTCTCTCCACGTGACATGTTCTCTTCAACGAACACACTCAAATCAAACGGAAGTGAGGAAAACGCACTTGCTGATTGCTACAAATGCTTGAATGTTTTCTGTGTTGAAGCTTGTGCTGGCACGGTGTGAATGCCTGTAAACCTCACACTCGTGCAGCGTGAAAGCTGTGGCTGACTTGGTCAAGAGCCGCAGTAGGCGCGAGCTTCTCGCCAGATCACGGCAAGGTAAAACAATCGCGATAATTTGCTCAACACAACTATGGGTTAGATATACATGCTACAGAAATAGTAAGAATATAGCCACAAAAACTCATACATGAACCAACCCTTGGGATGTGCTCCTAAAAGTTCCCTGCATACTTACTCCTGAACTCCCTCACGAGAGGGCTTCTCGCTTGCCATTCAACCGCATCCCCCAGTTATTTGCTTTTGTTGAAATGCATCTGTCCGCGACATGATTGACATGCGTGACAGCGTGTGTGACACTGTGCGGAGGGCTTTCATCCTTTTTAAACTGTGGAGATAGACTTCTGCTGCAACATGCTTAGCATTGCTTTGCACTAGACTAGCAAGGCAGCAAGGCCTTGCTTTGCCAGTCTCCATCTGCCTCACATACAGACTTACAGCTGCCACCACAAAGATGGCAAGGAGAAAACAAAACATATGCCTTGCCCAGCCAGCGAGTTCTATTCAGTGAAACGGCTTTTGCAAATTCCGAGGCCTGTGGCACAGTGGCCTTCAGAATCGCACGCGCCCAACGTCAGTCGATCGCGTTCTCCGGTGGCCTCCGTGCAAAACTGGACAGGATGATTGACACGACCATCGTCAACATGGTCAAAGGTGTTCGGAGCTGTATACGGGGCCTATACACACTCTCTTAACTAATATGCTTGTCTGCTATATGCGAAGCCCACGATTCTCCTAAAGCTGTCATCAACCTGAATCATTAGCAGCTACTTGGGCCACGCAACCTCGGTCGGAAAGCCTCCGGGCCTGCTTCAGTTTGAACGTGTAACGCTGACGGATCACCCGTGACTCGCGGGGGCCGTGTACTCCGGGTTCGAGCCGTCCCAGTCCGGGTCCGGGTCAGGAAGGTCTGAGAGAAAGTGCAACCGCCACAAGACCACACCCAAATATTCACTGAGATGAAGCCACCTTCAGTGGACTGAATAGGATTACCTACCGTCACCCTCCAGAAAACACCATTGCCAATGCATCTCTAGTAGTAGCACCTGAATGGAGCATGACGGCTCAAGCAACCCTTTGAACATCGACGGCGGCAATATGGAATACCAGGATACCCTTCAATGCTCAGCGCGTCTTGGCTACTGTGCAGGCTAAGTAAGTCTCGCGCAACTTGGACGGGGAAGACTCATTACAGCTACTCCATGGACAACATTTGATAACAGTCAACACATAGAACAAGCTGCTTGCATGACATTAAACGCCTATAAATACGTATACTATTGATTACTATTGTTGAATATCTGAACTGATTGAATGCATTCCAATCATTGGATGGCCTTTTATCTTCTGCATTCTTGCACCGTCCAAATTGTTCACAAACCAGGACTCCAGGACCAAAAAAAGAAACATAAATATAAATATATATAAATAAATATATATACTGTATGTATATTACATAAAAAAATCAAACAGAACGGGTTCCTAGGCGGCGCACCTTCAGGTCCCTTTTCGTTTGAAGCTGCGGCCCCATGACATGGACTTTCCTTCCTCGCTCGGCGCGAGCGGTCGGCCGTGACGGCCACCGGACGACCGGCGGTCGGATCGCCAGCTGTGAAAGCCACTGGAGTCTGCCAAGGGCCGAGGTCAAACCCCAAAGTCATGCTGGGTGAGAGAAGCACAAGACCCAAACTACAAAAGTTCCACCACATACATGAAGTGGGAGAGATGCAAATGTTGATGTGACAAGGAGAAGCTCCCTTTAGACTCAAGATGACTCAAGACATCAGCCACCCAGAATTCCATGCACATCTCTTCCGCTTCCGATTCAAAACGCGCAGCAGCACCCTCTCTCTCTTTCGTTGGGCTGAGGGTCTTCGAGGCCACTGAGCCGAAAGTTCAGCTGTCCCTTCTCATCAATGGAGCGCTCCTCACGGAACCGGCCCTGAGGCCCCATGCGCTCGATGACCTCGGGCAAGAGTGAGGGCCGGGGTTGTCTCTCTCATGGTCTGAGGAGAGTCATGTTCATTACACACCCATGTTGTGGCCAAATAGGAACTCTTGAAGGGTTCATGAGAAGCAACTTCTACATGCAGTAATTAAACACATTTGGTGCTAACACTATTTGTCATGATATGCCATAATAAGCAAAGCGGCCAAGGTCTTTCCCTCCCACTCAGCTATACAGGTCAGAGTTTGCTTGTGACCATCCACCGTGGTATACTCTGACCCATCTGCAACGAACTCCTCGATGATGTCTCCCAGCATCGTATGGTTGATGAACTTGAAGGTATCCTTTTTCAGGCCACACAGCCACATGAGCGCAAAGACAGCCGGACATCTTTTTGGAACATCATCTATAATACGGTCTAAGCATGTCTAAGCCGCCTGCGACTCGTGTCCTCAAAAATGTTTAAACGACTGATTTGTAGAGGACACATTGGGTGTACGCCGTATTGTTCAGCTAGGTGACCTCCACCCATAGGACAAGCAACTTCTTCAGGACTTGCACGGGATGCATAGCATTGACTAGTGCTACAATGTTTGATTTTCCTTCTGAGAAACTAGCTCTATATATTCGAATGGGTGCTCAAACAGCCCGTGGGCGACAAAGAACATTGTTCGACCAACAATTATTTGATAAACAAGCCTGGAGAGGACAAAATACTGAAGAACCTATCAAGCACTAACAAAAAGACATGAAGAATCTTCCAGGAATATGTTGGATTCAATACTGTATGTATATAATATATCGTCTATATAGTACATGTTACACTGTTACACCTTGTTACACGTATATTCCCATTTGTGTCATTAATGCCAACAGTGAATCACGGAGACTGATGTGGACTGCTACACACCCCAAAAGGCCTAAGCCGCAGCCCAGGTATTGAAAAATCTTAGATTCAACTTGGCATTCTGGTCCGGTCCTGCTCCTGGTGGAACTCCCAGCTGGGCCATGGGGCCTTTGAAGCCGCCAGCCGCTTCATATAGGAGATCCCCATCTCTTTCAGAAACTCCTCCCATCCACGCATCGAACAAGGTGAAACCCATCCATCTATCCATCCATCTTATCAGGTCCAAACTGAAGAAAAGCAACCCAGCCCCTGGAACAACACATGAATGCTGATCAACACCCATCCAGACTGATCAAATATGCCTCACCTAAATGAACATCTCCCACATCACACCCACAACACGGATCGACAGGCAGCCTTTTCAACTTGACAAACTCACCTGGAAATCTTAGTAGCATTCAAGTGAGGCTCTCTCTTTTTCTGCTGCCATCTCCAACCAACGCATCCAACGCACCCCAAACGCATCCAACTCCTCTCCTCCAAGCCCCAAGTGTCGATGCAAACCCATTCCCCATGGAAGCTCGGCCGTTCCGGCTTGAAGAAGTCCGAGATCATCTCCTTGGCGCTGAAAGTCTGCGTCTTTTGGGGGGGAAATCCCCGATGTTTTCGGTGGTTGGGGGGATCATGGAGGATCCTATGCAACTTGGCATGCAAGACCTGAGTTGGAAGCTGACTACAACTGGCACAAATGTTTCTCAGACCGACGCGAATGCTGGTTCGATTATTCGAGAAATTTGTGAGGGTTGTGGGGTCCACCCTGCAGGTTGCATTAAGCAACGGCTTGCTTGGAAATCCTCACTGGTGTGGGCAGGATTAACCAAAGCTTCTACACAAAGCGCAAGTGGTGGCCCCTGTCTACCCTGAGCTCACACTGGATTGACGCTGTCACGTGGAATCGACATCACATGACGTGCCGCTGATGGGTCCAGTCCAAGAGTCAATGATGGACTTGGTGCTGCCCATGGATTTGGTACCGGTGAGGGATTGTGTTGTGTTGGCTCTCATGCGATGCCCTTGCACTTGGGCGGTCTCGTCATCGACGTGAATGCCCTGCATGCTAAAGGAAGATACGGCGCGGCTGAACTTCTTTCCTCAGAGAGCGGGTTCAGGTTGACATACTCGACCAAGGGAGAGTTCTGGGTGTTCAAGCTCAGTCTGGTTAGGTACTTTCGGTCCAAACACTGGTTGGCCGATCGAATTACTTTCACCCTTTGCTCGAGCACGCAACATGCGGCCAAACTTAAGAAGGTGTGAGGTTTACTGAGGTTACTGACCATGTGCATGGTTCAGGAACTGAGCTTTGAAGATTGGCCGATGAACTTATATGTGACAACATGTGAAAACTACGAGGTGTTGATGAGGTTCTTGCAGAAGCTCGCGGAAGAACATCAGTGCCCTCCCATCCCACGACGTGTCTACGCCCACGGCAGGGCACGCATTTCCTCGCCACTGGGAGAGTGCGGAGTTTCCACGATGTCTTTGGATGTCGGGCTCGTCTCTTCTTGGATCACTCCCTTGGGGCTCCTAAGATCGTCGCGCCGGTTCCGCGACGGTCTTAGTTAAGAAAGCGAGGCGAGCGTGCTCCACTGCGGTTCCGTCCGATCATATGATGGATCATTGTATGATCATTGTGTATGACGTCCACTAATAATGTAACCATAATGTCACCTAAGTTTAGACCAAATCCCAATCGAAATCATTGACATTCAAATCCCTATGAACATCTTTGAACGGCAAGGAAGCGCTCAGCCCGTTGAATCTTCCCCACCCCGTCTTTTGATCCACACCTAGGTGAAGCCCTTAGCCCGCGCGTTGGTTTGCCAAAACAGGTGTGGAGCACGTGACAAAAGTGGAGCACGTGGCACGACATGACATGTATATATCTCTTCAGTTGGATTGCTTTGTCTTGTTGCAGTCAATCTAGTGGTGTTTCATAGGAAAGTGCTGAAGATAATCCGGATGGTTAAATTACGGATGTGTGTGAACGTCTCTTTCAATCGATGAAGAGAACATCAGTATCGTGAACAGCAGTTTTTGGGATCCATCACATATTCAAAACCACGGACATGCCCCTGAAAAGGGGCTAGCATGGACTTGTGATTATAGGTTCATCGAAGGCACAAGCGCCCACACGCAGGCAAAACAGCAAAGGAATTGATCAGTCTCAGCCTGCTGTGTTCGAGCTTGAGGGACTTGGGACACATGAGATGTGTCGTCAAATCACCATGTGGTTTCTTGCTTTCCAGGCACACAATTTCCTCCTCATCATCCGGCTTCTGCTCCTCTGGGGGCGCCGCCGCGCTCTCCGGCTCGGCGACGGCCGCATGACTACAGCAGGCCACGTGGTTTCCCATGGCCGACCACGTCCACTGAGCCGCACAACGGCCGCGGACGGAGGTGCAGGTGCGCACGGAGGTGCAAACCGAAGGCATTCGGTCCTTGACTCCCTGTCTGTTCATCTGCGTGCCCTCCCTGAAACTGGAGGTAGAGGAAAATGGTCTTTCCAGGGGCCATGTTCCACTTCCATGATTGTGTCAGGGAGGGCAAATATCGACAGATCTTATATCATATCTTGGCTGACGGAAGTCCTGAGGATGGAATTGCATGTTTTGCATCAGCACTCGACAATCATCCTACGGACATGCTCCAATCACAAGAAGGAGTCTGTACAGGTGCTTCGTTCAAGCTAAGGTGTTGATGTGCAATTACCCCAGCAGTCTGTCATCCGCGATTCATATTTTCTCCATCCACATAATCTCCAAGCTGTTCCATCAATCAAGTCATCTTCAGGCGTTGCTAACGAAGGTCATGTGGATGTAAGCTCTTCGTGCAGCAATTGTTTCCACAATACCAGCCTCTTCATCAGTCCCTTGAGCTCTGCATGGCCTCGCTCATGCGACCCGACCCACGTCGTGGCCATCACGGCCATCACTGCCGCGAAATCGTCGGATCTTCGGAAGCGATGGTGGCCTGGAAGCACATTTGGTGAAGCGATGGTATGCCACGGATCCAAACAAAGGGGCAATACTGGGGTGTACACCAGATTGTTCCGTCTCCTTAAATTGTGCATAAAGAACCAGTGCATATACAAATATGTACAATACTAACACACATAACTAACTACATAATGTTACATACATACTCATACATGTACATATAAATCTACTCTAAACCTACTGTGAACCCTTCATTGGACATGGCGTGGCCAAGTGTTATCCTCTCTCAATTAATCATGGAACCTGAACATGCTCCCGCTGCTGAGAATTGTCAAGACATGTCAAGACCCAAGGCAGACTCTCCTTTTTCATGATTGTTGGAGAGTTGCGGTACATCAACAACACACAAACAATAGCTGGTTTAGGTATGGTTTAGGTGCCATTTAGGCGTCCACCCTTCCAAATCCCTGTACAATTGACAATAGCTCATAGATTCATGACACAGCCCTGAAGATCCCAAAGCAGAACGTGTCCACACATCTGCTTGCGCAGAACGGTGTCCGACGAGAACAGCTCTATTATATTCCAAACATCTCTTGTCATGTCAGTTGGATAGTGGAAGTTACAGCTTGCAAAGCTACACGAAGCGAAGTCGAATCCAAGCCTTTCAACTCTTCATCCCAGCTCAACCATGAGAAAGCAAAGCCATCTTCTTCAACATAGTGCCTCCATGAGCCTGTGAAGCATTCATCACATCTGCGGATGCCGAACGATCAAAACCTGGCTGGCTTGAGGGGAACATGAGCCACAACCATCCAAAACCGAAAGTGTCGTGCTACAACGTGTCCCTGCCCAGCCTATCACTCCTCATGATTTCTTAACAGGGACCGGACGTCAAACAGCCCTCGTCGTTTGGCGCATCGTCTCGTCAACTCGATATATAACAGGCGGTCTCGTCACACCCCACGTGTTAAGTTGCTTGGGGACCGTCGTTCGTTGTTTCGGGGGAATTAGCGCATATGAAGTGTTTTTGACCCTTGCGGACCTCTGAAGAATTGGTTGTTCAGAACTAAGAGAGGGTATAAAACACGTCTTGTTTTTTTGCGTTGTTAGTGGCAACATACGAGACCCAAAGGGACTATTTCATAGGTTTGTTTGTCTCGTGAGTGGTGAGTGAACGGCCACGGTAAAAGCTTTGTAGACGTTGTAAACCTTTGTAATTTTTTTGTAATTCAACAACTCTGTCAACTGTTTGCAAAAGTTGCAAACTTTGTACAAATTCTGAAGACTTTGTGAAAGTTTTGTAAACTTTGTATAACTTTGTAAAAATACAAAACTTTGTAAACGTTCTAAAACTGTGTAAAACGTTGCTCTAACTTTGAAGAATAATTTGAAGAACTCCAAAACTTTGTAAAAGGTTTGTAAACCTTTTTACAAAGTTTGCGAATTTTGCAACGTCTTAATAAAGTTTTACCAAGTTCTTACAAAGTTTTACAAGTTTAAAGGTTGACAAAGCTTACACAATTTGGCAAAGTTTAAGAATGTTTTACAAAGTCTACAAAGTGTTGACAAAGTTTACCAAGTTTATACCAAGTTCACTACGTTTTTACACAGAGTTCAAAGTTGGTACAAAGTTTACAAAGTTTTACACAGATTTTATGAAGTTTGCAAAGTTTTACAACCGTTTACCAAGTTTACAAAGTTTTACAATATTTTAACACAGTTTACAAAGTTTTGAACAATTTCCAAAGTTTACCCAGTTTACAAAGGTTTTACAATTAAAAATCAATTAAAAACGTATTGAAAGTTTTACAATGTTGCTGCAATGTTGACAAAGTTCTTACAACGTTTACACAGTTTTGCAAGGTATTGAAAGTTTACAAAGCTTGTACAAAGTTTATAACATTTTTACAAAGATTGCACATTTTACAATTTTTACATCGAGTTTTTACAAAGTGTACAAACATTTGCAAACTTACACAGTATTTACATAGTTTACAAAGCTTTCACAAAATTTGCAAAGTTTATACAGTTTACACAGTTTTTGCACAGTATTGAAAGTTTACAACGATTTTACAAAGCTTAACAAAGTTCTTGCAAAGTTCGGAATTTACACAGTTTTTCAATTGGTACAGAGTCTACAAAGTCACACAAAGTGTTTACAACGTTTTCAAAGTTTTTACAAAGTTTACAAAGTTGTACAACGTTTTTACACAGTTTACAACAGCTTTTTCAAGTTTACAAAGTTTTTACAAAGTTTACAAAGTTTTTACAAAGTTTACACAAGTTTTTCAAGTTTACAAAGTTTTTACACAGTTTACAAGGTTTTTACAAAGTTTATACAAAGTTTACAAAAGTTTTTCAAGTTTGCAAAGTTTTTACAAAGTTTTTACAAAGTTTACAAATGGCTGGTGAAAAACACTTATGTTTACAACAAATGACATGAAAAACACTTCTTCTTAAGCAAAAAATAGTGCAAAAACACTTCATTCACAGAACTTTACAAAGTTTTTACAAAGTTTACATAGTTTACACAGTTCTTACAAAGTTTACAAAGTTTTTACAAAGTTTACAACGTTCTGACAAAGTTTGCGACATTTGCCTTTTGTTACACAAATTTCCAAAGTTTTTTCAAAGTTTACAAAGTTTTGAAGATTTTGGAAAGTTTACAAAGATTTTGCCAAGTTTACGAAGTCTTGCAAAGTTTACAGAGTTTCGACAAAGTTTACAAAGTTTTGAAAACGATTACAAAGTTTTGATAGTTTATTTATTTGCAAAGTTTACAAAGTTTCTTTCTACATTTTACAAAGTTTTTACAAAGTTTGTACAGTTTCACAATTTGTACAAAGTTTTTAGGAAATTTACAAAGTGTTCAAAGTTTACAAAGTTTTCACAACGTTCACAAGGTCTTTCAAAATGTTTACAATGTTTTGACAAAGTTTACGAAGTTTAAAACGTTTTACAAAGTTTGCAAAGTGTTACGAAGTCTATAACGTCCTTTTTTTAAATAGAGTTTACGAAGGCCTA